TCATTCATTAAAATAGATATATATTTTGATAAGATTGTTGAACTTACATTGCATTCATTTCTTTTTCATATTCTCATTGAAAAACTTTGATTGATTGAATCAAATTTCTAATTATAATATATATCAAAACTTTTCATCTAATATTTGAGCTATCATTTATTGCTATTGATTGAAGTGTTAGCCCCTCTTAGTACTTAAATTCATTTTTATCATTTATTAAGAGAGAATTTTCATTGTAAAAATAATTTACTCTAAACTTGTGGATCATATTAAGGTCCCGAGAAATCTCAATAGAATAAAGATTGGTGCTCCTTGTTGTAAGTTATCGTGTGGGTCATATTGAGATCCCGTGAAACTCAATATTGCATAAGGATCGTTGCTTCTTGTTTATAAGTCATCGAAATCATTGTAAAGGATTGCACCATAAGTCAATCAATATAGTGAAAATGCATTGCTTGTGTCGGTGCTTGGTAACGGAAGACGCAGATCATTGCCTTGGATCGAACCTCCATAAGTATATCGTTTGCATCTTCTCTCCATTTTACTTATCTCTTTCATATTTGCAATTATTATTTGAATCAATCTATTTAGTGTTTACTTACTTGAATTCAAATTAATTCTTTGAAAAGTTTTAAAAACCAATTCACTCCTTCTTGATTAGATATTCTTGGGCTTTCAATTTTACTTGCTCCTGAAGAGCAAAATTAAAAATTATGTTTTTACTCATGAAGAGTAAATTCTTTTAAAATTTATTGTTTAAAATAATAATATGTTATTGCTTCTGAAGAGCATGACATTACAATTCCAATATTCCAGAAAAAATATTGATATATTACTCTTGAAGAAGCGATAATAAAATACAACGTGCTCTCAAAATAATACATGTTTTGAAGAATATATCATGTGTAATTTATAATGTTTAATCATATTCTTCGAAATTAAATAATTGAACCATATCTTATATTGAACCAGAAGTTCAATTTGTTTGACATGACCAGTTGGACCATCGCTTTATCAATAATGATGCAAAATTAAAAATTCAAATGAAAATTCAACGAAGAACCAGAATTCTTCAATCCAATGAATTTCTAAATGTTATTTGTTCTCTTTATCAAAAATTGATCATTAAACATTACTAGCTAAAATATGGACTGAATTCCGTACATCTCCGAAAATTAATCAGGTGATAAATGGGGTACATCATCCTCCAAGTTGACTAACTAGATATTATTTGAATCTAATAAATTTGATACATATACTAGATGATTGCAATGTGTTCACACCCTGAAATTTGCGAAATTACTATTCAAAATTTAAATTATGAGCATAATTTTCAGATTATACAATCAAGAGCATGACATTACGATTCCAATACCCCAGAAGAAAATTGATAAACTGCTCTTGAAGAAGCGATAATAAAATACAACGTGCTCTCGAAATAGCACATGTTTCGAAAAATATATCATGTATAATTTATGAATTTTTGTTTATCCGTGAAGGAAAACATACGACTTATGTCATGTGGACATTGACTATTATATGATTATAAAATGTTTAATCATATTATTTGATATTAAATAATTGAATTATATCTTATATTGAACCAAAAGTTCAATTTATTTGGCATGACCAGTTGGATATCACTGGATCAATAATGATGGGAAATTAAAAATTTAATTGAACATTTAACGAAAAACTAGAAGATTCTTCAATCCAATGAATTCTAAATATAATTTGTTCTCTTTATAAAAAAAAAATTGATCATTAAACATCACTAGTTAAAATAGGGACTGAATTTCCTATGGGGCCCATCCTCCTTCACGTTGACTAACTAGATATTATTTGTATCTAATGAATTTGATACATATACTAAATGATTGCATGATGTTCGCTACCTGAAGTTTGTGAAATTATTGCTCAAATTTTAAATTATGGGCGTAATTTTCAGATTATACAATTAAGACGGTGTGTCTTGTTAATGCTAGTGAGCCTGAATCTTGACAATTTCGTAAATCTCAGTTGGAATGTCTATAAATAGTTTAACACTATTGTTTGTTAAATGACTTCAATTAATTTAATTGAGAACAATGTACTTTCCATTTCTAAGTAGGGAATACTATTACGGATCATGCTAATAACATAGTTCTCTATGTTATAATTATCTTATGGTCAGAGCCCAAGTTTTCCATTTAATTATTTTTGATAGTATAGTATTTGTAAAATTAATCCACCACAATGCAATGAGATGGAAAGTAAAGAATGCTGAAAATAAATGAGTAGTTTGAACCCTTATAAAATATCTCAATCTCTAACGGGTGATATTTTATAATACAGTTTGTTGATTGTCAGTTTGATTGGACAATTCTTTCAATATTAGGGAGATGAATTAAGAAGATGAAAATATTGTACAAATTCATCATTATCTAAATCCTCGCAAAT